GCTGCACTGCGATTAATTGCGTTTTTACTACTTCATCGCCAGTGACACTAATTACCAAGACTTAAAAAAACAAGTGAAATTAAGTCGCATCGGGAAAAAAAACTAAATAAATCGAAGTAAAAATTATTCAACTGAAGACGAGACGGACGAAGAAAAAACGAACCCTGACCTCTAGAAATACCTCATTCATAGTGCGTCATTACTGAAGAACGCCACCCTAAGGCGACGTAACGCATGTAGTGACATCACAACCGATGCATGCTGGGTTACAACAGAGATTTTGATTGAGGTAGCAAAGATGGCGGCGCAGAGTGCAGTTTTCCGCGATGTTTAAAAACAACATTTCGTTGGCGATTTTGATGTAATTTGTAAGTTAATTATCAATGAATCGTTTTAATTAAGCAAACATTCTAAGTTTGTGTATTTTTAAACAAAAAAGTCAGGAACCGATGATCGCAACAGCAGCGGTGAATACCCGTTCAACACAATGCCGTCAGCTGACAATGTTACGGTGATCGTAGCGTTACACGAATAATAGATAGATCAATGAAAAATCGCTGACTTTAGTTTTGAAATGCTGTTATAGAAAAAAAATGTCATTATTGATTTATTACTTTCTTCATACAGATTTTACAAATTAAACAAACAAATTAGCCGCGATGATTGGCTTAGAGTCTGGGGAGAACACTGATCTTGCATGTTTTATGAATCTATTCACATCTAAATGCAGCACTTTTTTTTTGCAATGAGACATTTGTTTTTATTCTAAAATATCTCAATTACTTTCAATAAAGCTGGAAATTATGTTCCTTAAAATAATTAAACAAATAAGGCACCAATGTTTTTGTAAGATATTTACATCTTTTAAGGACATTCGGTAGACTGATTCCCCACTGTTGGTTCAACCCCAAAACTTGTTTGTATTCAAAATTAATTATGACAATGCATATTTATATTGAAACAAACTATGATAAAGGGAATTATATTATATAACAAAGGGCAAGGTCACCAGAGTTCAACTATGTTTCTTAAGTTGAATACACATTCTTGTATGTTGTCCTCCAGAAATATTTTACAAAAGCATGTACATATTAAAATGATATTCTGTCTTTATTCATTTTGAGTACCGTATTTATTTTTCTTTATTTTATGAGATGTTTGTAAACTGTCAAAAGTAGTGTTGGATTTCTAAAATACAAAATCAATATTCACAGTACAAAACTGAAGCTAGTATAGTAAAATATCTTCGTAAAAAAACTCCATATTATTGCGGACCGTAAGTGAATCTATTTGACCCCCATGGCAGCTTAGTAACCAGGGAACTTCAGAAACCCAAACAGGTCTCAATAATAGTATTTCATTCACCCCTATTGTATTAACTATTATGATAATTAGGAGAAACTGACAGGTGAGTGTTTTTGTTTTTTATTTACTAGATTTTAAAATTTTCCAGTCCAAACAGTAAAATATGCCCAGAATTTAATGAAGTAGATGTGGATGTGTTTAGGTGAGTAATTCATTTTTTTGTTGCAAATATTTACCCACGGCATTAATTTGCACTGATACTTATTTTCAACTGGTTGTGATTATTTGTTATAAAACACTCTCATATCATACTTTTATTTTGTATTCTGAAGAAGCAATGATGTAAATTCCAGAACAGATAATTTTTATGAAAAACTGTTATTGAGAAAACCTTTTGTGAATTTGCCTCTTGGTCTGCATTCCTGTAGGGAGTATACAACCAAGCTTCTGTTTAGGCACACCTGGGCTAACATAGTGTTCATTTAGGCACACCTGGGCTAATGTAATGTTCTATTTAGGCACACCTGGGCTAACATAGTGTTCTATTTAGGCACACCTGGACTAACGTAGTGTCCTATTTAGGCACACCTGGGCTAACATAGTGTTCTATTTAGGCATACCTGGGCTAACATAGTGTTCTATTTAGGCATACCTGGGCTAACATAGTGTTCTATTTAGGCACTCCTGGGCTAACATAGTGTTCTATTTAGGCACACCTGGGCTAACATAGTGTTCTATTAAGACACACCTGGGCTAACATAGTATTTTATTTAGGCACTCCTGGGCTAACATAGTCATTAGTGTTCTATTTAGGCACACCTGGGCTAACATAGTGTTCTATTTAGGCACACCTGGGCTAACAGTGTTCTATTTAGGCACACCTGGGCTAACTCAGTGTTCTATTCAGGCACACCTGGGCTAACTTAGTGTTCTATTCAGGCACACCTGGGCTAACATAGTGTTCTATTAGGCGCATCTGGGCTAACATAGTTATTACCCCCATAGGAATAAATTACTGTGATAGTTCTTGTGTTATAGTATTATTGTGATATTTCTTTGTATATGAAGTTGCATTTCTCTTTTTATTTCTACATATAGGTTAAAGCAGAGTATTCAGGTGATGAAACTTCACATAGATAGACTAACTAATGAAATGGAAAGGTATAAAATGGAAGCAGTTGTACAGTTAAAAAAAGGAATGAGGACTTTAGTAAGTGTAAAGTACCAGTGAAAATGCAGAATGTTTAACCTTTTCACTACCAGACTTTCTTACCACAATTTTTCTGCACTTTTTTCTTATATTCATCAATATTTCTGGAAATAAACCCTATTTTTGGGGCCATCAGACAAAATTTGAGTCAATTTTTAGTTTTTACTCAAAAAATTTTGTTATTTTTGTCCCAATCTTCTGAAGGAAAAAGCAAACTATAAACAGAACTATTTTGTGAATTTCTGATGAAAAGAGGGAACTGGTGGTGAAAAGGTTAATTTGCTATCACAGTACACAATATGTATTTTACATGTGTTTACCATATCTATTTTTCATGAATTTTATTTGCTCAAAATCTAAATTCATTTTGATTTCGAATGCATGAATCAGATTCAATGGGGGAGACATAGCCAGTGTACCCTGGGTGAGTGTGCCACAAAGTCAATATGGGAGACATAGCCAGTGTACCCTGGGTGAGTGTGCCATGGATTCAATAAGGGAGACATAGCCAGTGTACCCTGAGTGAGAGTGACATGGATTCAATAGGGGAGACATAGCCAGTGTCCCCTGGGCGAGAGTGCCACAGATTCAATAGAGGAGACATAGCCAGTGTACCCTGGGTGAGTGTGCCATGGATTCAATAGGGGAGACATAGCCAGTGTCCCCTGGGCGAGAGTGCCACAGATTCAATAGAGGAGACATAGCCAGTGTACCCTGGGTGAAAGTGTCACAGATTCAATAGGGGAGACATCGCCAGTGTACCCTGGATACTTTATCCTCAGAGTGTGCCATAGACACAATGGAATGCTGTTTGAGCCACTGGTCACAATTCATTCATTCACTTCACAAAATCAGGGGAACCTTGGATAAGGTTTGTAGCTGTTTGTGTCAAGCCAAGTAGATAACACATTCAATTGAAATTTGATAGATGGCCATGCAGTGTAGCCATGTGTAGCACCCTCGCTGCCTGAACGGCATCAACCTTCACTAATGCCTGACAGAATAGTGTATGTCTCGTTGACAAGATCAATACTGTGAATTCACAAAGTTTAAGCCTTCTTGCAATGAGTTTAATGAATATTCATTTTGGTGGTCATGGTAACACAAAGCCATGTTTGCATTGTCGGCAAAAATCACAGACTGTTTTCAACAAGATGATAAACATTGGGTGGAAACAAACTCTGCCATGAATGGATACTCTTTGATGGCTGTCACTATCTGACGCTGTGCAATTTGATTGGTACCGACACAAAATCATTGGGGGAAGTGAAAAAACTACATCGTTCTGTCAGGCCTATGTTGGGTTTACAGCATGGTGGAGGACACAACTCACGCGACCTTGTGAAGTGCTGTCATGTTTCTATGGCAACAAAGTATGATCATACTTTCCTTCTCTATATATAATGTACTATAGGTATGTGTATATTACTGATATTCAATTTTGCAGGCTAAAAATTACCTCAGACAAAAGCGAAGCATCCAGAGGACACTTGAAAATAAATATATTGCTTTAGAAACCATGGAAACGATGCAGAGAAAAATACAAGAAGCACACAGTGATATAATGGTAATTAACACTTTTATAATGATGTGTGCATCTTATGTTCAGACTGTATGGTTATAGTTTGTATAGCAACAACCTAAGGGGCTTTAATGAAATGGTTGTTATAGACAGGCGGTCTTTATATGAAGGTTGGATTATTTGTTTATGGATTGCCAATGTAACTTGTTCCGAAAATAATGAGTGGTACTTTTGTAACACAACAAATTTTGTTGATCAAAATCAAATAAGTTTGACTTGCGGGTATTTTATAAATGAAAAGGTAATTATTATTTTGGTCTCTTAGCAAAAGGGAAGCTGCAAAAATATTGCTGAAAGGGTGGTCATTATAGATGTTGTGGGACTGCCTAAAAGTGGTCACTATACTCAGGTGGTCTTCATATAGAGGTGCTCCACAAACACAGGTTTGCCTGTATATGCATGCATACATGAATAATCTTACATGTTTTTGGAGTGGTTTCTGACTACAGTGTGATTTTTGTTAAAGTGGTGAAAATAAAAGAAAACTGTCTACGTTCAAGTGTTGTGAGATAACTAATAATGTGCATACAATGTCTTCCAGATTATTGATGCCTACAAAGCTGGATCAGCTGCTTTGAAGCAAACCTTAAACATAAATGAACTAACTCCAGCGGCTGTTGACAATGCTATGGATGAAGTACAGGAGGTGAGTTGAACAATGATCACTCACAGGGGTTTTTCTAGAAAAAAACTGCAAGAGGATGCACTGCAATTCAGCGGCGCCACCAAGTGGGAGAGATAGCGTTCTCCCTACCAGGGTGTGGAGTTTTTGATAATTCTAAGTTAAAATGGAGCATTCTATAGCTTCCTTGGGGCGAAAATTACTATCAGACAGGTCACAGTTGAAGACTGTGGCCACATGTGATCCCTGGTCAATCAGAATTTTATGGTTGCCAGAGGATCTGCTCCCCAGGGTAAGGAGCGCATGGCCATGGCATGAGGGCACTGCGCCCTTGTTTTAAAAAAATCCCTGACTCAGTTTTAATAGGTTGCAGTATGGTATTGTTATTTTTATTGCTTCTATTTCACTTGTAGTGTCAGACAAATCCTGCATAAATTAACATTCATTGCATAATTATTGTGTTTTGTTATCCATTCATTGTCTGGGTCATTATCACCATTCAGGTCACAGGATGCTTGATCTGTAATTGATTTGTAGATGGACAAAATTACGTTATAATTGGAACGGAACTGCTAGAATTTTATTCTCTTGTTCAAATTGTATCCATAGTCACATTGATTGTATACAATTTCGCTATCAGAATCCACACTGATGCCAAAAATAAAACTATCAGTCAGGAGGCTATTGGTGAAATTTACGTTTACATGTAATAAGTCGCCCAAATATACATGACTATGATTGTAGCCATGTGCCTTGTGATTTTTAAACACTTCAATATTAGCATATAAATGTAGGTTAACCTGTCATGGAACATTCTTGTCTCTACTCACCATGTCTGTGTGTTATACAGAATCATAACAATACATCCCAAATACCTATATACCCATTCATACATTCACTTACTGTCATTGCGAGAATATTCCGCTGGATAATGTTGCAATTTACATCGCTGTTTTCTAACAATATTGCTATACATTAAGCAGTATTGTGATTTTTGATTTACATGCGTGCTTTGATTGGAGATATGCTTTTAACGGGGCAAATACAGTATTCGCTATTTGGTATCCATGACAACAGACACGATTTCTTATGTTTTGCAGGCTTTGGAAGCATACCAAGAAGTGAACGACACAGTGATGCAAGGAAACGATACAATATCCGATATTGCTGGTATCAGTAAAAATGAACTGGAAGAAGAATTAGAACTACTACTTGCTGGAGAAAATGAGTCATTTGATGATTTAGGAATTTCCGCTTTTGATAAAATGAATGTGGCAGACACATCAGGTATGGTGAAACTGCAGAATTTCAAGTTTTTATTTTAATGTAGACAAAACATCGTATTTTCAATCAAATTTAGCATGTTGATGATCTTTAATGAATTTAACTGGCTCAGCAAATATGTCTTCAAATATGTGCATATTAATTAAGTAATTTGCATAACAAGTTTCTTGTGCATCTCAAAAATGTTTGCCAATGGATTGAAATTTGGTTATATGCATATGTTTATATAGTTTTGCATTATTCTATGCATAATAATTAGCTGTATTTCATTTTCATACAATTAACATCAATTTCTCAAATTTAAGTTAATCTTGGTATGTGCATGTTGTTTGGTTACGTAATATTTGTAGGTTAAAAAAAATATTTTGTGCAAGATTACAAAAGTTGACTCTAGCGCTTAAAAGGTTACTCTCCTGAATTTTTTTCAATATCTTTGCCACATGAAAAGGGTTTTAAGTTGGTCAAAATAAACTTCACTTTTTCAATTACGATGACTCATGACTTTATTTTTTTTCAGCTTCTGACAGAGAGCCAAACTTCAGTGACATACTAGCAACTAGCCAGTCAACCCCGCCACATTTTCCAAGTGTACCAACTACCCCACCACAATATGATGTGTATAAAGTACCAGCCGGCTCATCACAAGTACATGACGTGTATGATATGAGGTTTCCAGACGTGCCATCAACAGCTATGCCAACATCACCATCATCACAAAATTACAAAGAAAGAAATGTTGAGACAATTATTCTGGAATGAATAATGTATTTGTTAATAGTACCAAAAACATCCATCTATCATAGTATGTACAGCTTCAGTAACATAGGACACAGGCCATAGATGGTGTCTGATTCCTCATATTGCTTACAGTGCATAGTGAAATGAAATGACAATAGATTGAACCAAATCTCAGTAAAATAAAGTAAACCACAGCATGGAATTGAAACTCTATTACGTTTCTTTTTTAAAAAAATCCTCGATACTCAATACTGTAAACCACTTAGCTTTGTGAGAAACAAGTTTCAGAGTCAGTAAAAATTGTGAAATTTGTAGTTTTTCTGAGGTCTAAGTGTTACCTTTCGCAAAAGTTAGTTTTCTCAAATGCTGTCAAATCCTCAAATCATGAAAAAGTCTTGGTGTAATGTAATTCTTCTGTTACTTCATCCATATATAAAAAAATATTTCTGAAAGTGGTTGAATTGACTGAAATGTGGTTTTTGATCAATTGCATTATGATTAATGTCAGTGGAGTTAATTTAAAAAGAAAAAATTGGAAACTGTAATATTGTTATTTTTCTCATCAATGCCAATAAGAAATTTTAAGGTAGATTTATATAGTCTGAATGCTGTCATTTACTGCCAGAGGTTGAGTTGAATTGGTAGAAGAAAGTTGACCAACAACCGGTTATAGAATCACAGAACTGTCAGACATATAAAAATGGTACTGAGTACTCCAAAGATACCGTGGTACATTTATGTCTAGTTTGTACATAAATAATGACATTTTATTGTTCATGATAACAAGATTATACAGCAACCAGAGTACCCTCTAACAGAACATATTTTGTAGTGATCTTGAGTCAAAATGATGACTACTGGGAAAAGAGGCATTCAAGTAAAAGTAATGTATATGGCTATAGGGAGCTCCTGAAGGCATAAATTGTTGTGACACTTGATTTACTTTGGTTTTACATTTATTTTGTTTATAAACAAATTCCATTTATATCACTTTTCTGTTACGTCTTTGGTGTGCCAGGGAATGTCACAAAAAATGTCCATCATTTACACATCATAAAGAGCCATGAATCAAGATTAAACAAATACATTCTACAATTCATCATTTACAGTTGATGTTAATCTAGATGTAATTTATGAGTCCAAAGTATTTGTCTGACTAAATTTTTCATTAGAGTTCCTGCTATAAAATAGTGACCAAAAGGTTAAGTGTCTGTTTTCAGTTTTAACCTGTGATAAATGCAACTCTAGGTCCATTTTGTCTTGCCTGTTTCAGGTATGTATGGGGGTGTCTGTTGTGATTGTTTCAGGTATGTATGGGGGTGTCTGTTGTGATTGTTTCAGGTATGTATGGGGTGTCTGTTGTGATTGTTTCAGGTATGTATGGGGGTGTCTGTTGTGATTGTTTCAGGTATGTATGGGGGTGTCTGTTGTGATTGTTTCAGGTATGTATGGGGGTGTCTGTTGTGATTGTTTCAGGTAT